TTGATAGTTTACAAGTTCCAGCAAATGTGTTAGTTTGGATAAAAAAATACAACACAAATAAGACAGATTATAAATAGGATTGTGGAGGCAGGATTTAAATCAGCTAGTTTCACTTTCTATTTCAATTGTAAAAGGTGGGCACACAAACATTTCCAAACGTTTTTTTTTTTTAAAATGACTCTCAGCTCAGGGATTGGCTTGTTCACACTACAAAATTAGCAGGGAAGCGCTAGCAGAGTGCATTTCAGGACTCCCTTGCTCTGTTTATACATGAAAGCCTGACTTCTCTGCTCTGCGCAGACTTGCTCTGTCTGTGGTGTGAACGAACCCATAGAAACCTACACACTGTCCAAATCGAAGTAGTAAAAATGTAGATATTTGAAACGAGGTATCGAGGTGGGCCAACAGGAGTCAAAAATATAACATGAGCCAGAAAACTTAACCTCCAAAATTGTTAACAAAACAAAATCTAAATAACAAGGCAAAAATACAAACATGAAAGCTTAAGGCAGGCAAAAAAATAAAAAAAAAAAACCACGCAAAAACAAAAAATAATAAAATGCCAAATTATATTTCACCTGGGTAACAAATGAGCAAAAAAGCGTGAAGCTTTTATAAATCATCTTCACAATGTCAAGTTATTACGAACTGTGTCTTATACCTTGACTGTAATAGTCACTTTTCTTGTATTTGATTGGATAGTACACCAGCGAATATAACTAATCAGAGCCCTTGAAATACAGACTGTAAAATTATGGCTTCACGTTTACAGCCTTTCTGTCAAGAGACCTGATTGGCTGTATTCGCTAATGTACAATCCAATCAAATCACTGCATTTACAAACTTCTGTGCTACAAGAATAGTTCCCAATGAGACCTAGTTTGTAATAGCTTGACATTGTGAAGATACAAGAAAGGCGGCTATTGAAGTCAAGGTATAAGACACAGTTTGTAATAGCTTGACATTGTGAAGATGGATATAAGCTAGCAGTATTTGAATTCTCGTAATAACAAATATAATCAGCTATGTGAACTCTCTACATTTGACCGTATTGTTGCAAACCTGAAGCACATATATATAATTTAAAAAAACAAAAAGGCTTTGTACTTAATTCGAATGGTGCTCTTTGCTGTTTTTGAGCCGCAAAAAACTTGATATAAGCATTATAAATCAAATTACTGACTAAATATTCCGTAATCATGAGCAATTCAAAATAATTTCCTAAATACAAAAAAAGTTCATAAAAGCCTTTATCCATATATTTATGTACGAGCACGTGCTTATTTTCTGAATGGCAAAAACTGAATTTTCAACTGCCAGCATCTCAAAGATTCTCATCAATAGCAGGAGGATTTAGATGAACTACATCAACGACTGAAATCTACTGGACTTTTCTCGAGCTTTTCTTGGAGCTAGGATATCCTAAGGTCTTAGCTTTTAACACTGTTTCTAGGATATCCTTGGGCCTTAGCTTTTAACACTGTTTCTAGAATATCGTAGGGTCTTAGCTTTTAACACTTTTTCTAGGATATCCTAGGGTCTTAGCTTTTAACACTGTTTCTAGGATATCCTAAGGTCTTAGCTTTTAACACTGTTTCTAGGATTACCTAGGGTCTTAGCTTTTAACACTGTTTCTAGGACATCCTAGGGCCTTAACTTCTAACACTGTTTCTAGGATATCCTAGGGTCTTAACTTTTAACACTGTTTCTAGGATATCCTAGGGTCTTAGCTTTTAACACTGTTTCTAGGACATCCTAGGACCTTAACTTTTAACACTGTTTCTAGGATATCCTAGGGTCTTAGCTTTTAACACTGTTTCTAGGATATCCTAGGGTCTTAACTTTTAACACTGTTTCTAGGATATCCTAGGGTCTTAGCTTTTAACACTGTTTCTAGGATATCCTACGGTCTTAACTTTTAACACTGTTTCTAGGATATCCTAGGGTCTTAACTTTTAACACTGTTTCTAGGATATCCTAGGGTCTTAACTTTTAACACTGTTTCTAGGATATCCTAGGGCCTTAACTTCTAACACTGTTTCTAGGATATCCTAGGGTCTTAGCTTTTACCACTGTTTCTAGGATATCCTAGGGTCTTAGCTTTTAACACTGTTTCTAAGATATCCTAGGGTCTTAGCTTTTAACACTGTTTCTAGGATATCCTAGGGTCTTAACTTTTAACACTGTTTCTAGGATATCCTAGGGTCTTAGCTTTTACCACTGTTTCTAGGATATCCTAGGGTCTTAGCTTTTAACACTGTTTCTAGGATATCCAAGGGTCTTAACTTTTAACACTGTTTGTAGGATATCCTAGGGTCTTAGCTTTTAACACTGATTCTAGGATATCCTAGGTTCTTATCTTCTAACATTGTTTCTAGGATGTCCTAGGGTCTTAACTTCTAACACTGTTTGTAGGATATCCTAGGGTCTTAACTTTTAACACTGTTTCTAGGATATCCTAGGGTCTTAACTTCTAACACTGTTTGTAGGATATCCTAGGGTCTTAACTTCTAACACTGTTTGTAGGACATCCTAGGGTCTTAACTTTTAACACTGTTTGTAGGATATCCTAGGGTCTTAACTTCTAACACTGTTTGTAGGACATCCTAGGGTCTTAACTTTTAACACTGTTTCTAGGATATCCTAGGGTCTTAACTTCTAACACTGTTTGTAGGACATATTTGCGCTACGATTGTTTCTAGAATAAGCGACCAGTTGAAATCAGGTGCTTTTGTTCTGGCACTATGACTAATTCATTAACAAAAAATCATCATAACATAATTTTCAAGGGAAACCACAAATTAGACAAATTTCAAATGATAATAAAAATTTTCAATAGAAAATAAAATGATGGTGAGCGCGATATTTAAACGATTTTACATTCCAGTCATCTGATTGGTCAATCAAAATAAATCAAATTGTATCAACCAATCAGATTACTGTTTCTCAAATTTGCTACAGATTTAAGAAATTTGTCAAGCCTTTTAATGTGTATAGCTTCTAGCTTCTACAGATGTGTCCCTGATACACATACAAAGGCTAGAAAATCTCCAAAAATATCAAATTCGTCTTGGAATGAAAATAAAATTGAAGAATTTTAAACTTGGTGAATAAGAGCCAGTAGATATATCTGGTGTCATAAATAACATAACATGATCCTTATATAATCTGATAAATCTAAAAAACTTAGTAATTATCCATAAATATCAAGATTAAGCATTTTTCAATAATTACTTAGTTTTATGAATTTTCCAATTTTCTAGATTTGACAGGGATTCTGTTGTAACTTTATGACACCAGGTAAGTTGACTGAAGAATATACACTCATATTGACCATTCTTGAGAATTAAATTTTATGTTCATTCTAAGACGTAGTATCACTTTAAGGTGACGTATGATAAGAAAGAAATACTGAATAAATAGGTTTTCAAGCATATTGATACAAAAATAAATAGCGAAAAAAAACAGCCAAATAAGGACTGTCTCAAAACTATCTTAGTGCTAGTACGTCCTAGGGTGTAGCCTCATCACACTGGAGAGACGCGATCTTACTGAGCTGCCACGACGATGAAAAATTAAGTCGACAGAAGCATGTCATATGACCGTGTGATCGCTAATGGTCCCAGTCCCTGTGACAAGGCTATTAGCTGCTAACAATATTTCTAGGATATCCTAGCGCTAAGATTGTTTCAATAACTTTAAGAATCTACTATAGTCAGGAAGAGTTGGCTAAATTTACATCGCGATCTGATCAAATTTTTGAGAGTCTACAAGAATCTGCTATAATGATATACATGACATCACCAATTCCGACTTCAGGGTTAGTGATGTCATAAACTATATATTATAAATATATATATCTAACTATTGCCAATGGATGTGTAAAAGTTTTTCAAAACAATTTTCATAATCAATGGGATCAAAATGCCCGTTTTCGTGTAAAATGACCATAATCCAAAAATATTTTCAATAAATCTAAATAATTTTTCAATAATTCCAACTCTTTCCCCAATGATTTGTGCATATTACAAAGTTGTTTGGAACAATTTAAGAATTTTTTGAAGAATTCGCAGTCGTCTCTCTATAATCTATTTCTGCATATTACCAAATTTCGTACATACTCTAAAGTCAGTTTGAACCATTCCAAGCTATTTTTTTTATATAATCTAAAGCCTTCTTGTATAATATAAAACAGTTTTTTCATATTTGTAATTATTTTGTTAAATCCAGAAGTTTCTTGCATATCACCAAACATTTTTGTAGAAGTTTTTTTGCTGTATTTTGTGTTTTCGATAACCAAAGTTCTTCTGTTCTGTATTTCCCAAAGTTATTTTCTGTACACAAAGTTATTCTGTATTTTCTAAAGTTATTTTCTATATCCAAAGTTATTCTGTATTTTCTAAAGTTATTTTCTATATCCAAAGTTATTCTGTATTTTCTACAGTTGTTTTCAATATCCAAAGTAGTTTTTTCTGTATTTCTAAAGTTATTTTCTGTATCCAAAGTTATTCTGTATTTTCTACAGTTGTTTTCAATATCCAAAGTGGTTTTTTCTGTATTTTCTAAAGTTATTTTCTATATCCAAAGTTATTCTGTATTTTCTACAGTTGTTTTCGATAACCAAAGTTGTTCTGTTCTGTATTTCCCAAAGTTATTCTGTATTTTCTACAGTTGTTTTCGATATCCAAAGTTATTCTGTTCTGTATTTCTAAAGTTGTTTTCAATATCCAAAGTGGTTTTTTCTGTATTTTCTAAAGTTATTTTCTATATCCAAAGTTATTCTGTATTTCTAAAGTTATTTTCTGTATCCAAAGTTATTCTGTATTTCTAAAGTTATTTTCTGTACACAAAGTTATTCTGTATTTTCTAAAGTTATTTTCTATATCCAAAGTTATTCTGTATTTTCTAAAGTTAATTTCTGTACCCAAAGTTATTTTGTATTTATTAAGTTGTTTAGAATATTAACGATGTTATCAGTAAGGAGAAATGTAGGTGTATTTTCATCGGTACTGGTTGTAGGTAGAGTACCATAATTCTCCAGAATGCTTCAAAGAACTAAAATAAAAAACAAATGAAAAAGTCACGTTCAACACGTTTGATATTGACTATCTTTTTTTTTTTAGCTTTTTTTGACCAGTTTGTGAGAACGAAATGAAATAAATTTTACGGCCTACTATTCTGTACCTGAGTGGGCTAATGAAGATAGCCAATACCATGCAGTGTGCAATGAGGGAAATTTTGTCAGGACAGCAGCATTAGCCTACTCTCTTTCGATTTCCAACTGTGGAAGGATCTTTAACGTACACAGTCTGTAGCACACAGGGCCTCGGTTTATTATCCCATCCGAACGACTAATCACTTTTTCCATGTCAGTCCCTCTTACCTACATCACTGACAGGGGAAACTGGGTTGAACGACTAATCACTTTTTCCATGTCAGTCCCTCTTACCTGCATCACTGACAGGGGAAACTGGGTTGAAAAATCAAGTTATTATCTAGACCATCCAAAATTTATATTCCTAATAAATCCAAAAAGATCGTGCTTAGATTATAACGTCACTGTTCTATCTTTCGAAGTTCTCGATACACTAATACCATAAAACCTATTGTTTTTAACGGATCAATAAATAGAAATTATTTGACTGACCTGACAATATCTTTGAAAGATTGTAATAAAGGTTTAACTTGATATTTTAGACCATGTTTTTCACATAATGACCTCACCAGGGGTGCAATTTTATATAAATTATGACGTGGCATCGTTGGAAACAGGCTGAAAATAAAAAACAAAAGTAATTTTTAAAATATGGCAATTACCAGGGAAATGATCCTGAAATATCGTAAGTTACGAACAAAACTCTCATGTAACCAAAGGAGCTTTCTCACCATGGCGATAAACAGTTGCGAATAAGAATAACGATCATCAGTTACGAACGCAACTCTCATAGCGCCTTCACACTATAACGATTACCAGTTGCGTATAGTTGTGAATAATGAAAGTGGTCATGAATTCTGAACACAACTCAGTTACATAAGACTTGCATTTGAAAGTTATGACTTATTCTTATTCACAATCATTTGCCCTTTTTCAATTTCCAACTGTCGAGGGATCTTTATCGTGCGCACAGGGCCTCGGCCCCATCCCAACAACTAGACGCATTTTCCATGTCAGCCCCTCTTACCTGTATCACTGGGTTGAAAAATCGGAAGGTATTATCTAACCTTCTCTTTTTTGATTTCCAACTGTCGATGGATCTTTAACAATTAGACAATCTGAACGACTCGACACTTTCTATGTCAGCAACTCTGACATGCATCACTGATAGGGGGAAATCTGAAGATATTATCTTGATTTATTCGAAATTAAAATGATATTGTATTTGATACTTACTGATGTTCAATTTGAAAGTTGAGATGTCCCGTGAACCAATCGTTAAAGAAAGATTTTTCAATGTCGCAAGTAGCGTGGAGTTGTAGTGGTAACCAAGCTTCAGCATGATCTTCATCGATCTCCATGGGAATATGGTTCGACTGACTGACCCAGGTAAACCAATGGCTTTCAAGCATCCTGAAATATTATGGTACAAATTGGGATATAACCACACTGTATAAATTTGACTATGTGGGGTTTTACTTATGACAAAATTTATTGTAAGATTTGTTAAAGATTTCGTCAAAGGATTAAAATAAAATGAATGGAGTTTTATGTCCTTCTTTTCTGCACCTGATTAGGCCAAAGAAGACAGGCAACACCTTGCAGTGTGCAATGAGGGAAATATAGACAGGACAGCTGCATTAGCCTTTGATTTAGAATTGTCGAGGTATTATCTCAACCTATACCGTGATTGAATTCTAGGTTAGCTAGCAAGCGTCTAACTCACTGACAGGGGGAACTGGGTTGAAAAATCTGAAGGTATTATCTCAACCTATGCTGGGATTGAACCCTAGACCTTCAGGTTAGCTAGCAAGCGTCTAACTCACTGACAGGGAGAAACCAGGTTGAAATATTAACTCGCTGAGACTAACATACATAAGTAAGAACATAGTAGTAATAATGAAAAGAAGGATTCCTACCTCATTAGGAAGTAATAGATGATGGTTTGTCCCAAACCCAACAATGGTACGTATAGATACAAAAACTTGGCAACAAATAAAACCAATACGGCCATATCCTGTAACAGAATAAAATATTTTAACCTCTTGATATTGATTATACAAGGATAACAACTTAGGTTCACAAGGATCCTTTCTACCAGCTGGTCCTTGGTCAAACCTCTTGGTAATGATTTTACAAGGATAATAACTTAGGTTCACGAGGATCCTTTCTACCAGCTGATCCTTGGTCAAACTTCTTGATATTGATTTTACAAGGATAACAACTTAGGTTCACGAGGATCCTTTCTACCAGCTGATCCTTGGTCAAACCTCTTGATATTGATTTTAGAAGGATAACAACTTAGGTTCACGAGGATCCTTTCTACGAGCTGATCCTGGGTCAAACCTCTTGATATTGATTTTACAAGGATAACAACTTAGGTTCACAAGGATCCTTTCTACCAGCTGATTCTTGGTCAAACCTCTTGGTAATGATTTTACAAGGATAATAACTTAAGTTCATGAGGATCCTTTCTTCCAGATGACTTATTCAGTACCCATTTACAGCTGGGTCGAATGGATTAATGAGGAAAGATGACGCAAAGATGCCGACTGTGCTAGAAAGAAAAATATTTCTAGCAATATGAGAAAGTAATATGGAAGACTTACCACCCAGGCTCTCCTAGTAATAACATGGCGTATTAAAGTAGCTTGAAAATACACTGGAAACAGAAGTGGTGGACCAACTGAAATAGATACAAAGTATTAACCAATATTCTATTTTTACTGTGTTTCACTTTAGCAAAAGCAATTTGTTCATCAACACATGTCATGATTCGATGATCTGTTCTGCAAAACGTTCAGAACACCATGGGATGTCACCATGGGATGTCACCATGGGATGTCACCATGGGATGTCACCATGGCATGTCACCATGGCATGTCACCATGGCATGTCACCATGGCATGTCACCATGGCATGTCACCATGTCATGTCACCATGGCATGTCACCATGGCATGTCACCATGGCATGTCACCACGGAATGTCACCATGGCATGTCATCATGGGATGTCACCATGGAATGTCAACATGGGATTGAGAAGGTCATTTGACAAGCGTAATCAGTAATAGTGTTCACAGCTCACTGTCAAAATTTGAGCCTTCAAATCCATGTGTGTCTAGAATTATCCACGTTTGAATGTTAAATATGTCTGCCATATATAGAAAACACATATATAGAAATAGACAGCCAAGGATCATGTATAGTGTATCATTGTATTTTTAAAGGAATTATGTGATTTTCGTACATTTCTAGTACTTCTGAAGACTATTTACATATATTCAAGACTCAAATCAACCAAGCCAAGGACCATGTATAGTGTATTGTTGTATTTTTGAAGGAATTATGTGATTTTTGTACATTTCTAGTATTTCTGAAGACTATTTACATATATTCAAGACTCAAATCAACCAAGCCAAGGACCATGTATAGTGTATTGTTGTATTTTTAAAGGAATTATGTGATTTTCGTTCATTTCTAGTACTTCTGAAGACTATTTACATATATTCAAGACTCAAATCAACCAAGCCAAGGACCATGTATAGTGTATCGTTGTATTTTTGAAGGAATTATGTGATTTTCGTACATTTCTAGTACTTCTGAAGACTATTTACATATATTCAAGTCTCAAATCAACACCCGAAAATGCTGCCTCTGTCCCTTTAAGATAACTTGTTCTTAAACTTGTATTTATAGTCTGATAACAATACGTGACTTAATAACGGTCAAAGGTTATAGGTCAATAGGGTCAGAGGTCAGTAGGTAAAAGTAAAGATAACTCACCGATAAAGAAATAACGATGTTGCCAGTTAAACGGGACGCTCGATTTTCCTTCTTTGGCCACCTAGATAAAACAAATCAAATATTTTATTATTTCGTTTACATAGTTACACGTGTTAAGATAATGGACAAACATTGAAAGCAAAGTTCATAGCCATTGTAACAGAGTCATAATATTTACGCCTTTTTATTTTTGTATATGTATTAGGGTCACTGTTAACATCAATTTACATCATTCTAATTTTCAATCAGATGTCTGTGGTTCTTGTTAAAGAGATTGTAAAGAGGTTTTCTAAATTTTTTATGTGTATCAGAGACACTGATAGCATCAATTTACATCATTCTAATTTTCAATCAGACGTCTGTGGTTCCTGCAATTCCACTAAAACTATCATAAAAGCTACTGATAATATCTAAGGACCTTTGTGATAGTGACGCCATAAAATGTTAAGTTTTAGCGGAATTGCAGGAACAAGGATAAATGTGCCACCACTGCAAATTTGACAGGATAAAATAAAACCAAAAAGTATCCCTTACCTTAACTGGCATATGGTCACCAACAACAAATAATTTTTCAACTCTTACATCAGGGTCTTTATCCATCTGTAAAAAAAAAAATAATGTCTTATTATTTATAAAAACTTAAAAAATACGAACAAAAAACAGTTAAATACAATTTTGACACAAATTTCAAATTGCCATATCTCGGTCAGTTTTTTATGCTAATATTTTGGCCTGGCTTGTTGAAGACAATGAACTATAGCATATATCTTTTATAAATTTTTCGGAGGGGGTCAGGTCCCAACTTTCGCAAAAATTGATCCACTTGACATGGAATCTTTTTTTGAATTCCTGTAGCTGCATTTAGACAGTCATAAATTATCTGGAGAACAATAAGTGGCAGTGGAGTCAGATTGAAAGGGCTGGGCACCGAGTCTTGAAAGGAAGGGGTTGGTCTCGGTCTGGACCAGCACAGAAAGGAATTGTATTTTTAGCAATATAAACGCAGCTTTGAACATTAAGAATAATACTACAATGTGGATGTTACGGAGTGTATATTAGTTCCCTTTAACTTCAAGAAAGAATGAAATAGAAAATGAATTGAATGGAGTTTTAGGTCCTACTATTCTGCACCTTGTGGGCTAATGAAGACGGACAACGCCATGCAGTGTTCAATGAGGGAAATTGTCAGGACAGCGGCATTAGCCTGCTCGTTTTCGATTTCCAACTGTCGAGGGATCTTTTTAACGTGCACAGCCTGTAGCACACGGGGCCTCGGTTTATTGTCCCATCCGAACGACAAGATGCTTTTTCCATGTCAGTCCTGCATCACTGACAGGGGGAAACCGGGTTAAAAAATCTGAAGGTATTATCTTGACCTATGCTAGGATTGAACCTTGGACTTTCAGGTTAGCAAGCAAGCGTCTAACTCACTGACAGGGGGAAACTGGGTTGAAAAATCTGAAGGTATTATCTCGACCTGTGCTAGGATTGAACCCTGGACCTTCAGGTTAGCAAGCAAGCATCTAACTCACTGACAGGGGGAAACTGGGTTGAAAAATCTGAAGGTATTATCTTGACCTATGCTAGGATTGAACCCTGGACCTTCAGGTTAGCAAGCAAGCATCTAACTCACTGACAGGGGGAAACTGGGTTGAAAAATCTGAAGGTAATATCTTGACCTATGCCGGGATTGAACCCTGGACCTTCAGGTTAGCAAGCAAGCATCTAACTCACTGACAGGGGGAAACCAGGTTGAAAAATCTGAAGGTAATATCTTGACCTATGCCGGGATTGAACCCTGGACCTTCAAGCGTCTAACTCACTGAGCCACGGCAGCTTCCAAGAATGAAATAGAAATGAAATACTTACCACATTAGGTTTAGCATGATGTTGATAATGCATGTGATTCCACCATTGTGCTGAAGCTCCCTTTAGAGAAAAAATCAAAAATACAAAATTCTTGATAAAACTTTTTCACAAATTAGTATAATTTCTTTTAAATTTAATATCTTGAACTATCATTTACAATCAAAAATACAAAATTCTAGACTAAAATCATAAATTCATAATTTCTTTTGAATCTTTTTTAAAACCATAATTTTTTTGAGTAAAAAATTCAAAAAAATATTTAATCTTCTTATTTTTTGAAAATTAACAAAATATTTTGTGATTTAAAAATGTAAAGAGTACAACAGTGAACATATAATTGTTGAAACCTTTAACGAATGCTGAAACAAAAATTCAAAAATCACTTCCTGAACACATATATCAAAATCCAACACAAAAAAAACAACAAGGCAAAATCATTCCACAATAATATCTTAATTCAGTAGAATCTTTTATCAGCTGTGTTTTTAGTACAAGCGTTATCCAGCATTTAAATTGTAGTCAAGTTAGTAAAAGTTAGTTGTATATTTTCTTCACCTAAATTTCAGATAACTGTAGTAAGTACGTTGAGATATAAATAGTAAGTAAATTGAGATATAAGTAATTAAGTTGAGATATAAGTATGTTGAGATATAAGTAAGTAGTCGGTAGGTTGAGATATAAGTAAGTAGTAAGTATGTTGAGATATAAGTAAGTAGTCAGTATGGTGAGATATAAGTAAGTAGTCAGTATGTTGAGATATAAGTAAGTAGTAAGTATGTTGAGATATAAGTAAGTAGTAAGTATGTTGAGATAGAAGTAAGTAGTAAGTATGTTGAGATATAAGTAAGTAGTCAGTATGTTGAGATATAAGTAAGTATGTTGAGATATAAGTAGGTAGTCAGTGTGTTGAGATATAAGTAAGTAGTAAGTATGTTGAGATATAAGTAAGTAGTCAGTATGGTGAGATATAAGTAAGTAGTCAGTATGGTGAGATATAAGTAAGTAGTCAGTATGTTGAGATATAAGTAAGTAGTAAGTATGTTGAGATATAAGTAAGTAGTCAGTGTGTTGAGATATAAGTAAGTAGTAAGTGTGTTGAGATATAAGTAAGTAGTAAGTATGTTGAGATATAAGTAAGTAGTCAGTATGTTGAGATATAAGTAAGTAGTAAGTGTGTTGAGATATAAGTAAGTAGTAAGTGTGTTGAGATATAAGTAAGTAGTAAGTATGTTGAGATATAAATAAGTAGTAAGTAGGTTGAGATATAAGTAAGTAGTCGGTATGTTCAGATATAAGTCAGTAGTAAGTAGGTTGAGATATAAGTAAGTAGTCGGTATGTTCAGATATAAGTCAGTAGTCAGTATGTTGAGATATAAGTAAGTAGTAAGTATGTTGAGATATAAGTAAGTAGTCAGTATGTTGAGATATAAGTAAGTAGTCAGTATGTTGAGATATAAGTAAGTAGTAAGTATGTTGAGATATAAGTAAGTAGTCAGTATGTGGAGATATAAGTAAGTAGTAAGTATGTTGAGATATAAGTAAGTATGTTGAGATATAAGTCAGTGGTAAGTATGTTGAGATATAAGTAAGTATGTTGAAATATAAGTAAGTAGTCAGTGTGTTGAGATATAAGTAAGTAGTCAGTGTGTTGAGATATAAGTAAGTAGTCAGTAGGTTGGGATATAAGTAAGTAGTCAGTATGTTGAGATATAAGTAAGTAGTCAGTATGGTGAGATGTAAGTAAGTAGTGAGTAAGTTGAGATATAAGTAAGTAGTAAGTATGTTGAGATATAAGTAAGTAGTAAGTATGTTGAGATATAAGTAGGTAGTCAGTGTGTTGAGATATAAGTAAGTAGTCAGTATGTTGAGATATAAGTAAGTAGTCAGTATGTTGAGATATAAGTAAGTATGTTGAGATATAAGTAAGTAGTAAGTATGTTGAGATATAAGTAAGTAGTCAGTGTGTTGAGATATAAGTAAGTAGTAAGTATGTTGAGATATAAGTAAGTAGTCAGTATGTTGAGATGTAAGTAAGTACTAAGTATGTTGAGATATAAGTTAGTAGTGAGTAAGTTGAGATATAAGTGAATAGTAAGTATGTTGAGATATAAGTAAGTAGTCAGTATGGTGAGATATAAGTAAGTAGTAAGTATGTTGAGATATAAGTTAGTAGTGAGTAAGTTGAGATATAAGTGAAGAGTAAGTAAGTTGAGATGTAAGAAATTAAGTTGAGATGTAAGAAGGTAGTAAGTATGGTGAGATATAAGTAAGTAGTAAGTTTGGATATAAGTAGGTAGTAAGTATGTTCAGATATAAGTAGGTAGTAAGTATGTTCAGATATAAGTAGGTAGTAAGTATGTTCAGATATAAGTAGGTAGAAAGTATGTTCAGATATAAGTAGGTAGTAAGTATGTTCAGATATAAGTAGGTAGTAAGTATGTTCAGATATAAGTAGGTAGTAAGTATGTTCAGATATAAGTAGGTAGTAAGTATGTTCAGATATAAGTAGGTAGTAAGTATGTTCAGATATAAGTAAGTTGAGATACAAGTAAGTAGTAAGTGAATTTGATTGCATCAAACTTCAAGCATATAATAGTCTTTGCACCAATAATTCAAACAAGTATTAATTTCAGATTTTTGTTAAATTAATATTAATTCAGTAAGTTAATTAAACACAATTTGTTAACGATGTAATTAAAGGAATTTTATAAGAGGTTTTCTAGGCTTTGTATAAGAATTGGGGACAATCAAGGTATAAGTATGAAGTTCGTGAAATGAAATGAATGGAGTTTTACGTCCTACTTTTCTGCACCATGTGGGCTAATGAAGACGGGCAACGCCATGCAGGGTGCAATGAGGGAAATTTTGCTAGGACAGCGGCATTAGCCTGCTCTTTTTCGATTTCCAACTGTCCAAATGTAAATATATAAACTTATACATACTAGAAAACCTCTTTCAACAGCTATATCAATACTAATATTCAAGGTAACATAGATATATAATTGCTACATGCTTGGTTTGTTTTTAGTTCATCACAAGGAGAGAAAGGCAGCCTTTGGTGTTTACATTAGAAATTTACAAATAAGGTTTTGTTTTAGTTTTTTCACATGTTTGAAAAGGTGTTTATTCATTGTCATTGCATGACTATATTTTGTCAGGGTGTATTGTCTTTTTGTATCTTTGTTGGCAGCCAATGGAAGAGCTTTATTTGTTTTGTGTATAGGCAATGGATGGTTCTCCAGTGTCTGCACCAGTTTTTTTACTCGAATGTGAAGCCATTTTGATTGTCAAGAGCTATAAAGTGACTTTTTTTTTTTTTTTAGGTAATAAAGGTTGTAGCTTTGTACTTATGACAAAGTTACGAAAGCACAGGCACAGGACTAATGTGAATTGGAATGGTGTAAATTGATGTTATCAGTGTCCCTGATACACATAAAAATTTAGAAAATCTCTTTGACAAGAACTAGACATCTGATTGTAAATTCTCTAGTGTAAATTGCATGCATAATTGACAAGTTTGACCATCGAACATGGCAGTGATCGTTAAAAATTTAACTAATACTTTACAATTTGGGCAGCGTTAAATAAATATTCATGCGGCAGAGTAGAGTAGAGTTTTGAAAGGATTCAGGAATATTCAAATGGAACAGATATATATTCGTATCTTTGGCAGCCATTCTCGCTACGCCTGACAATAACCTGGATAAATCTGACTACTTCGGTCCTCCAATGCTGACATCTGACTAGTCTCTCACACCCAGACGTCTCCTGTCTACGAGGATAGAGTCTTCACGGGAGATAACTTACATCTGAAGAACTATATTTTGTAGCACAGAGTAACTTCCGTTATTGTCAGACGTGCCGAGAATGGCCGCCGTAGATACGAATGATAGACATATATGATTGTTTGGAAATTGAAAGAATGTTTAAATTCTGTTAAAATCGTAATACGGGGGAAATTAAATGATTATTTGAGGATATTCGTGAAAAGGTATATATGTGAAACAGACTAATAAAAATTAGATCAAACTTTTGTTACGTGTTTCATTAGGTTTTATTTTCAATATAGCCATTTCAGTTAGGGTCTTATGACAGCCTTCTTGAACGTTTGTCTGTTTGATAACACCGCCAGCCAATCAAATTCCTTGCTCTCTCCAACGCTGGGATAATGTGACAAGAACAAAAGGTGAATTTAGTCTCTAATGTTTCTCAGAATTATCTTTTGTACGTGTCAAAAAATCTCAGCGTTGTAGAGGGCAGTAATTTGATTGGCTGGCGGTGTCATCAAACAGATGATTGTTCAAGAAGGCTGTCGTTAGACCTTAACTGAAGTGACTGTATTAAAAATAGAAGCTAATAAAAGAACAGAACGAAAGTTTGGTCCAATTAGAATTAAACTGTATGTGAACACTCCACATTTGGAAAAAGTTATATGAATATTTAAGTTGGAAATTGAAGGAATGTTGATGGAAGATCAAGAAATATATGTGAACACTCTGAATTTGGAAGAAGCTTTGTGATTATTAGAGTTGAAATTGGAAAGGAATATAACTCTGTAATAACTGGAATACGAAGGAATATCGAGAACAAGAAAAACAGAAACAGAACGACAAAGGTCTATGTTATAGAGGTGTGCACACAACATATCAATGATTTTGTAAAACAAAATAAGCTCTGAGCTTGAAAAAGCTGAACATAACTGGCCCAAAATCAGGGTATAGCATCAATTTACACCATTCTAATTTTTAATCAGATGTCTGTGATTCCCGCAATTCTACTAAAACTTAGCATTTTTACTATCTCAAAAACTGCTGTTATATAAGGACCTTTGCGATTAGTGACGTCAGTTAACACTTATTCTTACTGGAATTGCAGGAACCACAGTCGTCTGATTGAAAATTAGAATGATGTAAATTGATGCTATCAGTGTCCCTGATACACATAAAAAATTTAGAAAACCTTTTTACAATCTCTTTAACAAGAACCACAGACGTCTGATTGAAAATTAGAATGATGTAAATTGATGCTATCAGTGTCCCTGATATACATAAAAAATTTAGAAAACCTTTTTACAATCTCTTAAACAAGAACCACAGACGTCTGATTGAAAATTAGAATGGTGTAAATTGATGCTATCAGTGTCCCTGATACATATAAAAAATTTAGAAATATTTTTACAATCCCTTTAAGTGAAGTTATATTTTTTTAACTTCTTGAGTCACCAATTTATTTTTTAAAAAAATCAAGTTTTCGTTAAGTGTTCAAATATTTGATATTTTTACTAAAAAATTTTGAAAAAAATACCAGCGTTGCATGCACACCTCAAATCAGAATTGAACAAGAGAACAAGAGAACAATAAACAATGAATTTGTAACTTTCTGCAAATGTATAACACACAAAGGAGCCAAGCCTCGTTGTCAAGGTTACCTTAATAAATCCTATCGTAAAATGGTGTAAAACGTGATCCAACGTGGAATCGTGAAAGACAGATAAATGTCCAAAATCATGTTGAAGCCATCCAACTTGGCCCTGGAAAGAAGATATTCTATTAGACAACAACTAAAGTTAAGCAAGCATTTAGGAGATAGTTTACCTTTATGAATCCCATTGTAAAATGGTGAAAGGCATGATCCAAGTTTGCGTAATTCTTAAAAACCGACACGTGGCCGAAATCGTGCTGTAGCCATCCTGTCTGTGCCTAAAATGAAAGTCAAATTTTCATACGAAATTTCAAACACGATTTTTAAATGCCCTGTCGATCTGGAAAAAGATGATTATGTTG